TACTTGCCTATATGGCCAACATTGCTATTCCTGAATATGTCATCTGTTTTTAAATCTGTGTTAAATTTTAGAAGCCACCATGGCAGAGTGGCTTAAATGTCGGACAAGGACTCTGAAGACCAGGGTTTGATTCCCAGCAAAACCATCAAACCCACTGGCTGACCTTGGGCAAGTCACATACTCTCAGCCTCAGAGGAAGGCCACGGCAAACCTCCTCTGAACAAATCTTGCCAAGAAAACCCATGATAGGGTCACCATAAGTCAAAAATGATGTGAAGGCACCACCATCAAGCCACCTTGGTCTCTAGGCAGGGTATCAATGGAATAAATAGATAATAATCCAAGATAATCCAAGCTCTGCTTGTGACTGATTTCCATCCAGCCTCTGTTTAATACATAATACATGATGCCACAGCCTGTCTTTGCACACTCTTCAAGCAGAATTTCAGCCCCATTTTGCCTCTAGCTGCCACTCAACAGGTACAGCCATCTGGCGTTTTTGATGCCCTTTCACCTGTAGTTGGAATATTTGTGAATATTCTAGTTGTGAGGCAACTGGAGCTTGGAGATTGAAGATCTTTGCATTTAAATTCCTCTTGGAATTGTTCTAGGGAAATTAAATGTGGGGCTAATAACAGATTTGTATTGGTCAGGATTAGAATGTTGTTGTTTCATAAAAGTGCAATAGGAATTGTAGGTTATATTAGCTAAAACCAGATGCCTAAAAGCTCCTGGTAAGGGAGTTTAAAAACATGACTACCAGCTGAGAGTCTACGTACATTGTGTAACTTTTCATATCCTTTGCAGTGTTGCAGAGGTGCAACAAAACTCTGTTATGAATTTAAAATGGGCATATCAAGGCACCAGCAAGATTGCTTCAATGTGCTTTGGTCTCTTTGGATAAGCATTGGGCACTTCTGATGCACATTGAGCATTTCTGATAGAATCATAGAGTTGGAAGGGACCCCAAGAGTCATCCAGTCTAACCTCTTTCTGCCATGCAGGAATATACAATCCATGCCCTCCTTGTGACTGATTTCCATTCAGCCTCTGTTTAAAAACCACCAAAAATGGAGACTCCACCACCCTCCAAGGTAGCAGCACCTTCCACTATTGAACAGCTCTTACAGCCAAGATGTTCTTCTTCCTAATGTTTAGGTGGATTCTCTTTTTCTGTAGCTTGCATTAATGGCTCCGTGTCCTAAACTGTATCCACACTGCAGAATTAAAGCAGTTTAAACGGCCATGACTCTATACTACAGAACTGTAGTTTGGTGATACACCAAACTTCTCTGACAGACCAGGCAGAATTGAAGCCAAAGAGGGAATGTGGGAGGAGGCAAAAGAAACTGGGACCTTTTAAAAGCAGGGGGAAAGTGGGAAGGAAGAGGATTAATCTGCACTGTCCCTGCCAAATGACTGAACAATGGGGTATAAATACATTAAATAAATAAATAAATCAGGATTATTGGAGGGTATGCTACACATGTCTTAGATTTAAGGATGAGTGTTTGGTTAAGGCAAGAAAAACAGCGTTAACATGTCCTAGCTTTTGACTTCTGCAGAAGTCTCTGTCAGGTTAGATGATACTAAATATGGTGACGATGATGATGATATAAGGAGAAAGGGTGGAGGAAGAAGCAAATACAAAACAAAAACCAGAGTGAGTTGGATGCTTCCTCTGTCTCTAGGGATAAAAATCAGCTCTCTAGGACTGCACCTCCCATTGTCCCCATTACAGGCTGTGCTGCTGGTAGCTGTAGTCCCACAAGACATTGCTTAGGCTTAGATGGAGCTGCTAGAGAAAATAACAGCCACCATTTAAGCAAAGGAGGACGCCATCTGAATCTTTCAATATTGCAAAACAGCTTTGGAAGCATTTTATTTTAAGACTTTCTCACCTGGTTTTTTTCTATTTAAATGTTATTATTCAGTGATGGCTGAATATCACACCCAATTGTTGGCCTCATTACAGTATCATGATGTGTAAATAATGCAGGTGGATAATCCTGGTATTTTTCAGCAGAATTTGTTGTTCTCCTAAATTTGCTGCTGTTGTTGTTGTTGTTTTTGTCATTTGAAGTCATTTTCCAACTTATGGTGACCCTAAAGTGACCTTATTGTGGGGTTTTCTTGGCAAGATTTGCTCAGAGGAGGTTTGCCATGACCTTCCCCTGAGGCTGAGAGAGTGTGACATGCCCAAGGTAGATTTCTTATAGCTGAGTTGGGAATCGAACTGTGGTCTCCAGAATCCAACACTCATGTCATGCTGGCTCATAATGCCAACTGTACCTGTTGAATTTCTGACTCCGCACACTTGTTTAAAGCCACCAGAGAACTGCCATGGAATCACCAAGTTGCCAAAGTGCCCTTCCAAGTTGGCCCAGGCAAAAGCAAACTGCTGCACCCTTTTCCAAGCTATTCTGTGCTTCCCTATTGATAATTTTGGCCATTTTGATCCCACTCCGAGGTTTCTTGGCTACATGAGTCCTGTTTTTCATCTATGAAATATTGGAGGGTGTGAGAGAATAGTACTGTGCTTCCTCCCTTTGCCTTGGCTATTTTGGGAAGAAAAGGAGCAACCCCAAAGTCAACAGAGTGAGGACCTGCTTCTTAAAGAGATGACAACACACCTCAGAGTTATTGCTCTCAATCTACATGAATCAGACCTTTGGCACTTATTCCTGTAGCTGAGAATGCAGATGTTTTATTCCTGTATGGATCACTTATTGATTTTCATTTCTCACAACTGCAATTTCAACAGGGAGAAATGTATGGTACTTACACTTAGGGAGAAAGAATGAAATGCATAGATATAGGATGTGGGACACTTGGCTTAACAAAACTATATGTGAAAGGGATCCAGGAATCCCAGCAGACTACAAGTTGAGCATGAGTCAACAGTGTGATACTGCAGCTAAAAAGGCCAATGCTATTCTAGGCTGCCTCAATAGAAGTATAGTGTTGAGATCGAAGGAAGTGATAGTCCCACTATGTTTTGTTTTTTAAAGAAATGGATGTGTCACTACGAGTCCACTTTAACTGTCCTGGCTCAGTGCTAGGGAATAATGGGAACTGTATTTTTTTCTGAGACATTGAGCCTTCTCTGTCAGTGAGCTCTGGTGCCACAATAAATTACCGTTTCCATGATTCCCTAGCACTATTTGATTGTCCTGATGGATAACCTGTATTCGGGAGAAGAAGCTACCATTTACAGAATGGTTTCCAGTTAGCAAAGAGATTGGACAAGCCTGCATTGTATCGTCCAGTTTAATTTATACACAGAGCATATCATATAGAAATCTGGATCAGGCTCTGAGAAAGAAGGTGTTAAAATTGGAAGAAGAAATACCAGCAATTTAAGATATGTGGGTGGGACCATGTAACCAGCAGAAAACGACAGACGGGATATGTATCAGTGAAAGTCCAGGAAGACCCAAAACAGACTTCAGAAATAATCTCATTTGAGACCGCTTTAACTGCCCTGGTTCAATGCTAGCGAATTCTGGGAACTGTAGTTTTGTGAGACATTGAGCCTTCTCTCTCAGAGAGCTCTGGTGCCACAATAAATTACAATTCCTAGGATTCCCTAGCACTGAGCCAGGGCATTTAAAGCGGTCTCAAACGGGATTATTTCTGCAGGGCGTTTTGGACCAAAGAAAGTGCCTGTATCCTGTTCGTAGCAAGGACAGACCCATTTATTGACTAGGATTCAAGTAGAAGAAGCAATTAAAAATTTTAAGATATGCAGACAACACCATACTATTAGCAGAAAGTAGCAGAGGCTCAAAAGTTAAGCAAGAAGGCAAGAAAGAAAAGGCTGACTATTAAGAAGAGAAAAATAATGGCCACAGGCAATTTCAGTGACTTGAAAGTGGTTTATGGAAACATTGAAATAGTTAAAGATATCCTATACCTTGACTGAATCGTAAATCAAAATGGAATCAAGAAATCAGAAGAAGGCTAAGACTTGGAAGGGCCACTATGAAGGAAATAGAAAAGATGGCCAAGCGTAAAGATATACATGGAATACCAAAGTCAGGATGGTCCATGCTATCATATTTCCAATTTCTTTGTGTGGTTGTGAAAACGACAAAGAAGAAAGCAGATAGGAAGAGAAGCAACTTCTTTGAGATGTGGTGCTGGAGGAGAGTTCTGTGGATACCATGGACTGCTAAAAAGATGAATAAATGGAGCAAATCAAGCCTGAACTCTCCCTGGAAGCCAAGACTGAAGCGATCATATTTTGGGCATATCATGGAAAGACATTACAAATGAGAAAAGCGAATAATGTTTCCAAGAGGAAAAGGAGACTACATTAAAGAGGGAGAAACTTAATAAATGAAACCATGGCCTTGCATTTGCAAGACCTAAGTAGGGCTGTGGATTTGCAAGACCTGAACAGGCTGTGGACTCTGCCTTAGAGGTCTCACATCCCTAGGATTCCCATACGTCGAAGCTGACTTGATGTCAACGCACAACAAAGTGCAAAGGGTTTGATTCTGGGATTATTCTGTGGTTATTCTGCTCCTCCTCTGTGCAGAGCAAGGTAAGACTAAATGACCTTCCTATCCCCCTTGTAGCATCTGGAGGAAGAAAGGAGGCCTGCAGTGCCAACCAGCCAGCTGGCTGAATCTGCACTGCCAAATTGCTGAAGCTGCAAGTTTGCGAAAGTAAGGACAGCTCAGGTTATGCTTCTGGGGCCAAACTTAAGTGGTGCATATGGTGTGTGTGTGTGTGTGTGTGTAAGAGACTGTAATCCCCTCCATCTCCAATTTTAGCAATAAGGACTATGGTAGCACCCAAGAAATCAATCTCATCCTCTCTTTCATACACACACAGACACACTTTTAGTTTGCATTTTTTAATTACTCAGAGTTCCTTTAAGGGTTCTGCCACTTTTCTTCCTACTCAGTACAACCCTGCAAGGTAGACCAGTCTAGAAGGACCAGTTTTAAGTTGTGAATCTTGATGGGCATTTCTTCTTTTGCAGGAGTTTAGCCTGCATGGGGTAATGGTTTGAGTATTGGACTACAACTCTCGAGACCAGGGTTCAATCCCCTGCTCAGCCATGGAAACCCAGTGGGTGACCTTGGGCAAGTCATACTCTTTCAGCCTCAGGAGAAAGTCAAATAAAATGAATCTTGCCAAAAAAACCCCCCATGATTTGGCCTTAGGGTCGCCATAAGTCAGAAACGACCGGAAGGCACGCAACGACAAAGCCCATCATAAATACGCAACAGTTACAGATAAGTAAATCTTGGTAACAAAGACATATTCACTTATCACTACTTAATCACAATTGTGACACTATTGCCATGATAGTGATTCCCCCGGAAATGACTTGAAGGCACGCAACAACATAACAAAATCCCCTGAAGGCACTGAATCCCCATTTGATCTTACAAGCTAAGCAGGGTCAAATTCTACATTGGAAAGCTCTACTAGGACCTCCCCAAAATAAAAATCCCAGGGCTCCATAGAACAGAGCCACAGCAGTGTAGTGTGAAACTGTGTGTAGTGTGCAAAAGACCCAGGTTTCACGTTTTGGCCCAGAAACCTCAGGGCCTGGGATGATCCTGAAATGGTAACCCTGGTGGCAAGAGAGATTGTGGGGTTTTGTTAAAATAAAAATCAATAATACGGTTTATTTCTATACCGCCCCTCTGGCAAGCCAATCTAGGCGGTGAACAGCAATGATATGTATACAAAATTCAAAACATCAAACAAATAAAATCAATACAGATCCCATCCCTCCTACCCTCCCCCACCCCCCCAAAACAAATAGCAAATCAAGCGTCTCCACCTTTTTCTGCATTTTGTCTTCTGCTATTTAACCCAGTGGTGATCCATGCAACTCTGGTGCTCTGGTTTGCCAGATTTACACCATGGCGGTGCAAGAGTTAAGAAAAAGGAAACTGGAAGGGAAGGAGGATCTACTTTTCATGCAAAGTGTCTTCACATGGCAGAAGGATGCATTTGAGGAGAAGGGCAGTGGCTGAGATATGGGAGAGGTTTGCTGGCGAAGGCAAGGCAAGAAAATGGATGCCATGAATATTTGATGACTGTGGCTCTCGGGAGGAGCAGGGAAGGAGGAGGTGGAGGAAGCCTTTTCCAGTTACAAAGCATTGAGACATTTTTGGTGTCTTCCCTCCTCAAGGCGGAGGAACCTCCACTTTGCATCCTTTCCCCACTTCAGCAATAACAACACTCCTGAGGATTTCCATGCATTGCATTGCATTGCATTGCAATGCACTGCTTGCACCCTCCTTTGCTTAGACCCTCCTTTGCTATCTGCTGCATCTGTCTCAGTCCTGCATGCAAGAATTTCTCAAGCACAATTTTCCCTGAAACTGTCTCTGCCTGTTAGGGGGAAAAAAATCCCAATTAATCCTTTTTTGTCCCATTCCCCCAGCTCCTTTGAAAGTGCCCTGATTTCTCTCTTTCCTTTCCCCCTCTGTGCTCAGTTTACTTCACTTGCTGCAAACAGGCTGCAGCTGCACTGCAGAATTAATCCAGGTTGGCACTGCTTTAACTGCCCTGGCTCCATGCTAGGGAATCCTGCGGATTGTAGTTTTGTGAGCTCTGTAGCCTTCTCAGTCAGGGGCTCTGGTGCTACAACTGCAAATCCCAGGATTCCCAAGGAGTAATTTTGCATTATTTTACAATGAGATGTAGCCTGAGTTCAAAGTGCAAAACTCCAGTCTCTAGTTTTTGGAGTCACTTCCAGTTGGGACATAAGGGCAAATTCTCCAATTTTGGAAGGCTCAACTCCAGGGAAGAACTCTGGTGCCAGAACAAACTACATATTCCAGGATTATATAGGAGGGTGGCATGATGGTTAAAGCAGTGTCAAAATTGCATTACCAGTTCCACAGTGTGGCAGCAGCCTAAGGGCCAAAACACCTTGCAGAAATCATCCTGTTTGAGATTGCTTTAACCGTCCAGGTTCAGTGCTAGGTAACCCTGGGAAATGTAGTTTATTGTGGCACCAGAGCTCTCTGACTGAGAAGGCTAAATGTCTCACAAAACTACAGTTCCCAGAATTCCATAGCATTGAGCCAGAGCAGTTAAAACGGTCTCAAACTGGATTATTTTTGCAATGTGTTTTGTCTCTTAGTCATTCTAGTCTCAGTGTTTACCCTCTGCTCTGCTCTGCTCTGCATCCAAGTAGGTTAGATTAATGGTTCCTTATCTTGTCTCCCTAAATCCATATTAATCTTTTATTTCATCTCGATTTAGGAATTTAGCTAAGATTTCTCTTTTGATTCCCAGACAGGAAAATATGTTCACTATGTGTGTCTGTGAATGACATGCTGTGAGCAAGTGTGGTTGATACTGAATGCATGCTGCTAGAATTTGTAGTTTTGCAAGACATGAGCCCTCTTGGCCAGAGAAGGTGAAAGACCTTGCAGAACTACAAATCCCAGGATTCTATAGGCTGGAGCTATAGCACTTAGTGTGGTGTCAAACTGCCTTATTTCTCCAGTGGAGATGCACCCTAAGACTGCTTCCCTGTTTGCTCATGCACTTGTTACTCAGCAAGAAACCAGATAACTATTAGCATGGGGTTTTTTTTGATTATTTGTATTTTTAGCTGTTTGATTGATGTGCTGTTTTTAAAGCTACATTGATTTCAAGCATCCAGTTCAGGAGAAAAGTGGCATATAGATAAAATAAAATAAATATTTGCACCATTGAATAGGCAGACTTCTCTAAGAAGTTCACAAAACAGAGGCTGACACCCTATATACAATTCTAAAAATCATATTATTATTATAATTTTAATATTGTCATGTAGAAATCGTCTAAGTATCTTATGATAGATAGACGATTTCTACATGACAATAAGTATCTTATGATAGATAGAAGATAGAAATACAAGAACAGAAATAAAACCTAACCTAAAACTCCTTTTTATAAAAACCAGCTGCACAACAAAAGCAGAGCAAAATGTACAGGAGAGAGAACCATCGCAGTGAAGGGATGGGGGGGGAGGCTATCTGAAAACTATGACCAAAATTAAACAAAAAACAGAGTTCCATTTCTATACTACGTCTTCCAGTATTTCCCAACCAATATGGCCCCTGGCCATGCTAACTAGGGCGGAGGGAGATGCTCAAAAACAACAACATCTATCAGTTTTAAGGTTCGGGAACGAAGCCTTAGGAGACACATTTCATCTTTTCAGAGAAATAAAATTGCTACAAAGGCTGGAAAACTACCAAATGATGAAGCCATGGAGGCATACCCTCCAATCCACCCAATTTGGTTGAGACAGTCCCCGATTTTTAAAAACCCCTCTATCACCCCAGTTTAAACATTTCCCAGTTTCTCACTTCCGCCTTCGTCCTCAGCTTACTCCAGCTGCTGCAAATTGAATTCAAAGTGTTAAATAGGTTGCATTCAATTAGCATGGGGGGGGGGTCTTGCCCTTCCCAGTCAGCTCAGGCAAAAGCAAACTGCTGCACCCTCTCCTACCTTGTGTGTTAGACTGACTGACAAAGTCATAAGAGTTGGAAGAGACCCCAGGGGCCATCCAGTCTAACCTCCTTCTGCCATGCCGGAAGACACCATCCAAGCCCTCCTTCATTCCTCCTTCATAACTTTATGCCATCTCAACCATTGTTTGGCCACATGTTTCCAACCAGAAGAGGCTACAGCAGTTTGCTTTTGCCAGAACTGACTGGGAAAGGCAAGATTCTGCCCTTCTTTTCCTCTCTTCCCCCTGCTGGGTTAATGAAGTGCAAAGTACTTTTTGAACTTAAGTGGAGACAAAGGGGGAAAGTGGGAGGAGGAGAAAGAAATCAGGACATTTTAAAAGCAGCTGGGAAAATGGGATGGCAGAGATTTGACTGGGACTGTCCCACACAAACTGGGTAAGTTGTGGACTGCCTAGCTGTGCAAAGGGTAAGTAGTAGAATCAGAAGCATAGAGTTGGAAGGGACCCCCAAGGGTCACCCAGTCCAACCCCATTCTGCCATGCAAGAATTCATAGATCCTAGAGATGGAAGAGACTCCCAGGGGTCATCCAGTTCAACCCTTTTCTGCCTTGCAGGAAGACAAGGCAAGAGAGGCTGGGAGACGGTGGAATGGCGGCAGCTTTTCAGGATGATATAATGAGAAAAGCAACCGCAAGGCAAACAAACAGCATTGTTCGGTGCCAGGGGTGTGGAGACAAAGGGTCACTCCTCGTCCTTTCCCTCCCAGCAGGGGAAAAATAAAAAAAACGCCCCACATCAGCACTCGGGGAAAAATATTTTCACTCGTCAGCTGAGTGGAATTCTCTCTGTTTGGAAAACAGAGAGAGAAAAATGGAACAAATTTTTCCCCCCTGGCTTCATCAAGATATGCTGGGAGCATTTTCTTTGGAAAAGAGAAAGGAAGGGTTTTTAGAAAGCTGACTTCCCTTGGGCTTTGGGGATTGTCATGACTGTGGCTTTTTTGATCTAGTCTCTCAACATGCTCAGAGGCATGGTGGTTCAGAGAGAAAGGCACACTGTTTTCTCAACCTGTGTGTGTGTGTGTGTGTGTGTGTGCATGTGTTTGAATGACAACCTGTGAGCGACTATGGTTGAGATTTAACACATAACACTTAAAGACATAATAGAATAATAGAATTACAGGATCCTAGAGTTGGAAGATACCTCCAAAGACCATCCAGTCCAACCTTGTTCTGCCATGCAGGAAGACACACTCCTGACAGATGGCCATCTAGTCTCTGAAAACCTCAAAAGAAGGAAATTCAACCACACTCTGAAGTAGATTATTATTCCACTGTCAAACATCTTGTAACATCTGGAAGTTCCTCCTAATGTTGAGGTGGAATCTCTTTCCTTGTCGCTTGTATCCATTGTTCCGTATCCTTGTTTCTGGAGCAGCAGAAAACAAGCTTGTTCCATCCTCAGTATGACACATCCCTTCAAATAATTAAACAGGGCTATCATGTCACTTCTTAACATTCTCTTCTCCAAGCCAAACATGTCCACTTCCCTAAGTCTCTCTCCATAGGGCTTTATGGTTTCCAGACTCTTCACCATTTTGGTCACTGTCTTCTGGACACGCTCCAGCT